AAAAGGTGCTCAGCCACATTGTGCGTGTAAAAGATCCTCTAAAGTGGTAAATAAATGCTTGTGAAAGTCTCCAGTTTATCAAGTTTTGAGACATTTTGATTTTGAGAAGACTAATCTGGACTTTTGTTGTTTTCCTGCATCTGTGGTGAGACAAACATCTCCCAGAAGCTCTTCCCAAAAGCAGACTCATATCTGAAAGGCACACGCCCACTCCAGCCCATCATTTTAATGTTGTTTTGTACGGTGGCAGGGTTTTGTCTCGCGCAGCATCATGGATTGATGTGCCTTTTTGCATTGCAGATGTGTCACGGTTGCCTGTAGGCCAAAAAGCCTTTTCACAATCAGCAGAGGATGTGCAGATGTGGCCTGATGCCTTTTGAACACAAAATATACATCTCGGAAGTTATGAAAAATAAGTGAAACACCATCAATGACAGGGGGAGTCTATTTATTGATTCACTTTAATAACTAAAACGCTGACTGGCGAGGCTGACTCAGACAATGAGCAGCCTCTGATACAGTCCAGCTTTGAAAACAGCACACACAGAACTAGATGAAAGACAATCCATCCTTGGGAAAATACTAAATCCAATTATATATCTTCTTACAGAGTGTTTCATTTCCCAGTTTATAACACCCATCTTTAGAGTCCTATCACTATCGGTTCACACATTTAATTGAAATATAATACGAATGGACAGATAAATCATAGATCTGATCACCACAGTTAACACTCCATATGGCTCAACTGAGCTATTTGAATCAATCCTATATTCGATACTCCTGTAATCAACACTGCTTTTTGGACAAAGCAGGATCATATATAAATAAAGAAAGACTCTCATGAAGCAATTTGCTGATCAGCGCATGCAGACAAGATAAAGAAAATAGACCGTGTGGCTTATTCGTATTTTTTACCCTAGTTCCTGGTTCAGACCAATCATGTTTAGAGCATCCGATAGTGTGAAACGCCTATCCCTGCAGGACGGGCCCAGAATCGAACCGTAGATCCACTACAGCAGCAGCCTTCACCCATCCAGAGATATAACACGTTATCAACACGCATTTAACGCACTACATCTACGTTTCTACCTTTCTGGGTCTCGCTGAGGAAACAGCTGTTAGGGCAAACATCTTGTCTGGGACTCTAAGCTGAAACCATTCAATTAGAAATTAGAATAGACGGGAAAATACACATTTGATATAAGATGCGAAACATGTAAATTCAAATGAGGATTTATGAACACTGCACCAATATTTAAGTCAAAATGCCAACCTTTGCAGATTTCTATCCGGCTGCTGTCCACCGCGTTCAGCACCCGCAGAAACGCGACTGTCAGGCCAGAGAGTTACGCAAGGCGACTTCCGGTTCGTGTTCCATAAATAAAAGCTCAGGGATGATGTTAAAATGACACAACTGGGGAAATAGTTGAAGGTATACAAAGTAGAACGGTTGCTGGTCTCAGTGAAAGGGTTTAAGGTCCACCTGCATCTAAGAACGACATTAAGGTGGAGAAGCTGTTCGACACATTTGGATGCATGTTGGTCTTAGAGTGCATAACTGTTTCAAAAAAGGAAATAATTTATTTAAAAAAAAGTTGGAATACAAATTACATGCTTTCCAAAGTGAACTGCTTTTAGTCATTGAGTGTCATAAGTACTAATGAAAAAAGGTGTCTTACTTATACATGTCCGGCCCTTGTGATTGATTTTACATTGATGAACCAATAACATGTAACACATAAATGTAACAATACTGTTTTATCTGATAATTTAAAGTGACAGATGATCAGCTCAAATATACTAAAGTACTGAGGCTTAGTTAAAAATGACAATTTTTTATAATTGGGAACTAGAATAATGATATTTGGTGTATTGTTTTAAGGAAAAGCACAAGCACACGATTAGCCCAATGGTTTCCTGTTCATTTATTGAGAGTTGAATATTCCGTGCTATTCAGTGTATAAAGATGGTTTAGGATAATGGATTGATTTTGAATTTTTATGTTAAAAAATGTTGCTTTTTTACTGCGTAATCATTTGAATGGACACATACTGTGTAATATACAAAATAGGAAATGAATGCTCTATTTCATAGCTAAATATCAGATCTATATAGAGTATGAGCAAAAAGTGGCACAAAATTTCAAGAGGTAAACCGCTTCAAACAGTATGAGTTCAAGCCTATCCCCACAAGGATGTGTTTTTTTATCTTGAAAGCCAAACTAATTTCCGGTCCCTCGGTAACACCACTGGCTTTATGGGGCTTTGTTCGAAACGCATACGGCAGGTGGGCGGGGCTTGAGAGGCGACGGAGAAGATTGACGTCTCATCTGTCGAATCCAGAACCTCAACAACCGTCCTGAGACATTCTACCTCAAACGCTGAACCGGTCGTATATTATTGATAAGAGCTGCCGGAGAAACTGAATTATTGATCAGGAGGTCAGCAGTAACCACTGCTGCCATTTCCAGCGTAGCAGACACCGGCCCCATGATGGCTACTGTAAAAAATATAACCAAACAGGGCTTCAAATAAATCACAGAATCAAAATTATATCAGATATCAAGTTTACATAACAGACACATGTAATATTGATATGTTATCCACCATGTATTAAGAAATGGTTTGTATTAACTACCTAAACACTAAGAGATTCTAAAACACGTGGGATGAAACTTGATTTATTTGGCATGCGATTAAATACATCATAACAATATTATACATAAACTAATATCAAATACATCAACAGAAGATAGCAGGAAGTCAATACTGAGTCAGAATTCAGATGAATAAACAAGAAAAAACTAATAATCAAATGCAACTAACCAGCAAGCTACTGGCCTTGTGTAGTTCATGGTGTCACTTTAAACTACTTAGATGTTAAGTGCAACCAGGAATTCACTGCAGTCTAGAACTGGAAATTCAACCCCACCAAACACAAACACACACCATCCAATGACGACAAAAGTCATAAGAATAATTCCAAAATGGTGCCCCCCCTTACCACCAACACGTCAGTTGGTCAATAATGTAAAAGTAAGTGTAGCTGATGAAGAATTCTCATGCATGATTCAATTGCAATAATTAAAAGTGTCCAATTTCACATCCCCAACACAGTTGTAGTGACTTAAGTGGTTAAAAAATAGATACATACATACATACATGGATGAAGACATTAGCCAGACTGGAAAATCAGGCTATAGAAACCGACATGCAGCGATACGCCGACATACAACAACAGCCCAGTTTGGGATGGATTGCGCAATCAGAGGTTGCTCGGCTCCTTGCTGCCGCACATCACGTTTCACCCCGTATTTCAACAGAAAATGTGCAATTTCAGCGACTTTGACAATTAAAATGATCGCAAATAGTCATACATAAAGATCGGCGGACAAATATGAATATGTCATCGTATGTTTTGTCTTGTGAGGATGACCGCACGTCCCATAAATATATTTACACAGCTATATAATTGCAGTCTCTGTGGCTGTGCAAGTTGAAAACCTTGGGAAAGAAACATTTTTCTCAGATTATTACGTACGTTGGCACTCGGCATCCCCTACCGGTAGCCCCCTACCGGACCCCGGCACCGGTAGCCCGGTATCCCGGTATCCCGGTAGTTCCGTGCCGCCGCCCCCCCCCCTAAATCTTTAAGATATTTGGTTGAACCTGCTTTAGTTTAGATTCTCATTGGTTTGTTTTTAGTCATGTGACTTGTTTTTAGTCATGTGACAAAAACAAGGAAGTGGG